TTCATAGTAACTCAAAAGTGTATCATTTTCCAAAGTAACAAAAAGAACACGGTCAAAAGACTTTTCCATTTCCCCGTCTATCACCCCCAGCTGTGTCCTATCAACCTACCATATATAGGCATAGCCATGCACGTGATACTGACGCACATATAACAAATAATAAGTGAGCCTTAAATTAATGCATTTTAAACCATAATGTGACTCACAAAAATAGCCGATAATTTACAGTATAATCTAATTTATATTATTATTAAGCCCAACATTCAGACAATAATAACAAAAGGTAAAATGGCTCTAACACTATGAGTCCCGGATGACCGCCAGAGGCGGTGCTTTAAGCACTGGATATGTCCATCGCGAGCATGCGCAGCTCGAGTACCAATAACAACAAAGTCACCTGTGACCCACGTGACACCGGCTATATCAGCCGGTGTCATCAGAGGATCTGTTCCCAGAATCTTCTCGCGAGCACACAAGAATTCTGAGTGACAGGAAACTCTGGCGGTCATCCGGGACTCATAGAACCGTAGTTACAGCCGTAACTATCGTTCTATTTCGTCCCTACTGACCGCCAGAGGCAGTGCTTTAAGCACTGGATGACTTATACCAACAATGTCATGAAGAATCCAAGCCCTTGCTCACCACTGGAAACAGCGGAGCTCGGCAAAAGGACCACGCCCAAAGAATGGGGAGTGGCGACATTGACCTGATGACAACTGGAGAATGTGCCAGAAGACGCCCACGACACCGCGGCGCAGATGGTCTCCAGGGGCACCACCCACAGGGCAGCCCAAGATGTTGAGATGCTCCTTGTAGAGTGGCATCTCAGCCTGATGGCAGGGGGCGGCCACTGGCCCCGTAAGCCTGTGAGATGGTATCGACAACCCAGTGGGGCAGCCACTGGTTAGAGGGCATAACCTCCTTTACAGGGTGTCCGCGGGGTCTTAAAAAGTATTAAAAGTTGATAAATCAATTTAGCGAAAATTAAGGCTATTAAAAAGTATTAAACGGCATTTTCCAAGGTATTAAGAAGGTCCACAGCAACGACAACATGAAACACCCTTTAATTTACTGAAACAACATGTCGGGAAACCCCCTCAAGGTGGCCCCATGCATAGCGTGCCATAAAATGCTGCTTCTTATTTTAAGTTTCGTTGCCTTGCTCCGCTCTGTGGGGGGGGTGGGGGTATCTGCTGGTGGACTACCTGAGAGATATACAGCAGGAGAACACGCCGTCCACCGCGGAGAATAAACAGAAGGGCAACCATGACAATCATGCTCCGGGGTCTTCTTCGCTGCTTTTGGTGTATTTTGTGGCGGCAGCAGCGCCACTAATGGCGCGTTTCCACTGCAGGCCTCGCTCGGCCTCGCTCGGTTTGGTTAGGCCTTATTAGGCCCGGCTCACTTTAATGCTGCGCTTCCATTACAATTTAGGAACTGGGGCAGTTACTATAGTAACGCAGTGTAGGCAGAGCCGTGACGTCATCTTCAATGAGAGCCCCAGAAAAACAACACAGCCGTTAGCTCTTAGCACTCAGAGCTCACAGCTCCTCATATCTGTTCAGAAACTAGACACAAGTTAAACAAGTACAAACCACAGACTGCCTGTGTCATGGCGAATACAGTCGCTGGTTTATTTATGTCTGTATAGGCCGTTGTTGTGAGTGTGGACGGTCGAAGCATATATAACGTTAGCTTAGCCAAGCTACATTTAGAAAACACGCATTTTAAAAGGGTGTTTCGCCTGCCGTCTGTCTGCAGACTCAAAGCATTAATTCATGGTTTTTACTAACCGGTATCAGTATGTTGTTACTTCGGCATCATTTTGAAACGTGTATTACAATTACATCACGGTCAAATATGTTCATCTTGTTGTAGTTGTAGCCCCCTTGCCAGCGATTCTCTCTCTAGTTTAGCATACTCAGCCCGACTCAGCCTGGTTGTTCCTGGCCCTAGAACCACCATTTAGTCGGGCCAGAGAAAAGGTGAAAAAGTAGCCCCGGGCCAAAACTAGGCCAAGTGGAAACGCAACCAAAAACGGGCCCCGCACGGCTCGGCACGCTTAAAGCGAGCTACCCGCTGCAGTGGAAACGCGCCATTACAGGCCTGGCATATGTACTACAGCGTTTCCAGCATTTCCAGCGTTCTAGTGTGAACGGACACGTTAATGAATCGAATGCGTGTGAACGGAAGACTTTTTTGCGTTTGCGTTTTACTGTATGTGTCCTCGTGGGGCCGGGGTCTAAGCCAAACTATATCCGGTCACAGAGATCTGCTATTTTAAAGTGAGGTCAACACATATCGACCCTAAATATAGTCTATATTAAGAATGAGAAAAGTCTTAACATATATATCGTTTTTTGTAAACATATGACAAATGTGTGAGGGTGATGAGGTCAGAGCATCGTCCTATGTGCCGGGCATAGCCCCGACAGCCCCAGCCCAATTGAACCCCTGGGTATTTGTGAGGGAGCTCCTATATGGCATTACCCCGCTGAAGCTCACCAAAGTTTCATATATTTCATAGTTCAAAGTTTTGTCAATTGTTTTGTTTATTGGTCAAATCCTGGTTTCTAATGGTTTCTGAGGAGTTTGACTGGAATGAAAGAGCACATAGTACAGAAGCAACAAAGCAGCATCCTGCATTAACCCTGACCTTCACAGAGAGGTTGAAGTTCATGTGGAGAGGAGGCTTCAGTAGTCTGTCTGCACTCTGTTTAGTTGTGCTATCTTACAATCAATATAGTCAATGTGAGGTAAAGTGTGTCGCCAATGTAACCGGATAGAACTCGAAGTTGCAATGAGGTCTTAAAATGTATGGAAAGGGTCTTAAAAAAGGTCTTAAAAGGTATTCAATTTGACTTCAGGATTCCTGCATATACCCTGCTTTAGTGCCGCCAGGGCAAAATCAAGAGTTGCTCCTACTGCCGTATACAGGCAGTAGCCTTGATATACGCCCTTTGGGCACCCCCAGGGCACAGCAACTTCGACGTGCCGTACTCCTGAATGTCAAAGCGTGCCAGCTGGGCAGGCTGATTGAAATGGGTTTGTGGAAGGACCCCGGGCAGGAATGCCACATTTGCCCAAAGGGCAACGCCTGAGAGTCCCACCTCGGGCATGTATAGTTTATGGAAAGGACATGCAACTGCCCGACTCGCTTCCCTGAGGCTATGGCAAGCAGAAATGCTGCCTTCGTGGGCAGCCACCTAAGCCCCACCTGGGCCAGGGGCTCGAAGGGAGGAGATGATAGGGCATCCGGCAGGGGCAGGTCCCGAGCCAGAGCCCTCGGGGTGCTAGGGGGACGCTGCCGTAAAGCCCCTCTCATAAAGAGGGACACCGACCTGTGGTACCCCGCCATGGCACCGTCGACCCGAACATGTCGGGCAGAAATAGCAGCCACATAAATTCAGAGTGGAGTGAGAACGTCCACTATCTAGAAGGGACTGTTGTCTAAGCAACAACGTACATGCTGTCCCCAAGGAACACGCACATTCTTGTCCCCCAGTTGGGGTAGAAAGTGCGTGAGTGCAAGCTGCACAGCCCGAAGCTCTAGCACGTTGACCTGGCGCGCACTCTCCTGGGCAGACCGCTGACCCTGAACGGTCCTGCCCTGCCGCACTGCACCCCACCCGGAGAGACATGCACCTATGGTGATGGTCTCCTGGCGGGATGGGATGGCGCCCATGGGCACGCCCACTAGGAGATAGGCCCTGCCCCTCCAGCGTGACAGAGAGTGGAGGCGATGCTGCGACACCCTGACTTCCCTGTGCCACTTGGCGTCCAAGTGAAGGCTGTTCAGCCACATCTGCATGGGGCGCAACGACAGCGGGCCTAAGGGCCCAGCGGCCGAGGCAGCTGCCAGTCTGCCCAAGGGCCGGAGGAACTGAATATAAGGCACCATCTTGCCCGGCCCACGTGGAAGTAGGCATCCCTCAAGTCCACGGTTGAGAACCACTCCACCTGTGCATATGCAGTGGTCAGCATATAGAATGGCAGCACCTTCAGGAATCTATTGATTCCTCTGAGGTCCAAGATCGGGCAAAATCCGCCGACTTTCTTGCTCACGAGAAAGTACGCAGAGTAGAACCCCCTGGGCTAAGCAGAGGGTCTTACCGGCTCGATTGCGTCCTTGGACAGAAGGACGGACAACTCTTGGGCCAGAGCTAGGGCCCTGCTGGATCGCTGACGACTGTCAATTAGACCCAGCCGAAGGCTAGGGGCCGGAGCTGCGGTCCGTACCCCTGGGTTAAGGTGAAAACCACCCAAGGGCCGGAAGTACAGACCGCCCAGTAACTGAGCTGCTGCTGGGAAAGCAGCCGACGACCGCCCCCGGGATTTCAGGGCCCAGCCCCCCGGCCCCTGGAGCCCCTTGGGGGGCGCCGGTAAGGCTCTGGGGCACGAGGCCGTCTGGAAGGTGGGCGACCTGGGGCACGAAAGTCATTGGGAGGCGGTTGAGTGGGCCGCTAAGACCTCTGCAGACCACCCCTGTAATCCGGCGGCTGAGTGCGGCTGCTAGAGCGGCCCCTGGGCCTGCTGGGAGTGGGCACAGGTCTGCGAAGACCCGAGAGCTGCTGCCTGGTCTGCCTAGCTTGGGCAGCACGCTCCAGTGCCTCCAGGGCAGCTGACCCAAACAGCTCCCCTGGCTCGACTGGTACGCGACGGAGGACTCTCCTACGTGCCTCCGTTAGTGGTGACTGGGCCAGCCAAACCTGGCGACGAGTCTGTACCAGCGACAAGGCGCTAGAGGTGCGTCAACCGAAGGAGGTGCGTCAACCGAAGGGGGGGGGGGGGGCAGGTACCCAACATATATATTTTTTTTGGGTACCTGGCTGCGCCCCCTAGCAGCGGCGAGCATATTTCAGCAGCGGTGCTGCGCCGCCACTATTTGTATATAGGGGAAACACTGGTGTGTGTGATGGAGGATCATAATGAACTGTGTGTGTGATGGAGGATCATAATGAACTGTGTGTGTGATGGAGGATCATAATGAACTGTGTGTGTGTGTGTCTGCTGTGACGGAGGCAGGCTGAAGGTGGAGCAGCCTCAGGACGTGGTCACCGGGAACCCCACCGTCATCAAGATGCTGGTGAACTTCTACCGTTCGGCCCGTGGGCAAAGCGCCCTGAAGGAGACTCTGGGCCCCGCGCTGCACGACCTGCTGCAGGAGCCGGCCCCCAGCATCAGGACCGACCCTGTGGACGTCTATAAGACCTGGATCAACCAGACGGAGAGCAACACGGGGACCAGGAGGTGGAGATAACACACACTCACACTCACTCACTCACTCACTCACTCACACTCACTCACTCACTCACACACTCACTCACTACCACAGGTGCAGTAACCCTCTCTTGTTGCAGCTCTCTGCCGTACGAGGTCTCTGCTGCCGACGCTCTGCTGCACCCGGAGGTTCAGAGACGCATCGACATCGCCATCATCAACTTAAAGAACCTGACGGAGCGCGTGTTCAAGGCCATCACCTCCAACCTGCACAAACTGCCGTAAGTCTGTCCCCCAACCTGCACAAACTACCGTAAGTCTGTCCTCCAACCTGCACAAACTACCGTAAGTCTGTCCTCCAACCTGCACAAACTACCGTAAGTCTGTCCTCCAACCTGCACAAACTACCGTAAGTCTGTCCTCCAACCTGCACAAACTACCGTAAGTCTGTCCTCCAACCTGCACAAACTACCGTAAATCTGTCCTCCAACCTGCACAAACTACCGTAAGTCTGTCCTCCAACCTGCACAAACTACCGTAAGTCTGCCTCCAACCTGCACAAAACTACCGTAAAGTCTGTCCTCCAACCTGCACAAACTACCGTAAGTCTGTCCTCCAACCTACACACACTGCCGTAAGTCTGTCCTCCAACCTGCACAAACTACCGTAAGTCTGTCCTCCAACCTACACACACTGCCGTAAGTCTGTCCTCCAACCTGCACAAACTACCGTAAGTCTGTCCTCCAACCTGCACAAACTACGTAAGTCTGTCCTCCAACCTGCACAAACTACCGTAAGTCTGTCCTCCAACCTGCACAAACTACCGTAAGTCTGTCCTCCAACCTCACAAAACTACCGTTAAGTCTGTCCTCCACCTGCACAAACTACCGTAAGTCTGTCCTCCACACCTGCACAAACTACCGAAGTCTGTCCTCCAACCTGCACAAACTACGTAAGTCTGTCCTCCAACCTGCAACAACTGCCCGTAAGTCTGTCCTCCAACCTGCACAAACTGCCGTAAGTCTGTCCTCCAACCTGCACAAACTACCGTAAGTCTGTCCTCCAACCTGCACAAACTACCGTAAGTCTGTCCTCCAACCTGCACAAACTACCGTAAGTCTGTCCTCCAACCTACACAACTGCCGTAAGTCTGTCCTCCAACCTGCACAAAACTACCGTAAGTCTGTCCTCCAACCTGCACAAACTACCGTTACTGACGTAAGTCTGGTCCTCCACCTGCACAAACTACCGTAAGTCTGTCCTCCAACCTGCACAAACTACCGTAAGTCTGTCCTCCAACCTGCACAAACTACCGTAAGTCTGTCCTCCAACCTGCACAAACTACCGTAAGTCTGTCCTCCAACCTGCACAAACTACCGTAAAGTCTGTCCTCCAACCTGCACAAACTACGTAAGTCTGTACTCCAACCTGCACAAACTACTAACGTAAGTCTGTCCTCCAACCTGCACAAACTACGTAAGTCTGTTCCTCACTCCAACCTGTCACAAACTACCGTAAGTGCTGTCCTCCAACATACAACCGTTCACCAACCTGCACAACTAGCCGTAAAGTCTGTCCTCCAACTGCACAACTAACCGTAGTCTGTCCTCCACCTGCACAAACTACCGTAAGTCTGTCCTCCAACCTGCACAAACTACCGTAAGTCTGTCCTCCAACCTGCACAAACTACCGTAAGTCTGTCCTCCAACCTGCACAAACTGCCGTAAGTCTGAACCGTTGCAGTTGTGTACCTTGTCTTGTACTGTGTTGCAGGTATGGTCTGTGTGTGTAATGTGTGTGTGTGTGTGTGTGTTGCAGGTATGGTCTGCGCTACACAGCGAAGGTTCTGAGAGACTCTCTGCAGGAGAAGTTTCCTGAAGCCAGCGAGGACGAGCTGTACAAGGTGAGCTCCAGGAGTTAGACTGAGCCATGAGAGCAGAATTCAGAGTATACACTGGTCCTGAGAAGGAGGTGTGTTGCTCCTCTCCAGGAGTTAGACTGAGCCATGAGAGCAGAATCCAGAGTAGAGACCGGTCCTGAGGAGGAGGTGTGTTGCTCCTCTCCAGGAGTTAGACTGAGCCCTGAGAGCAGATTCCGAGTAGAGACCGGATCCTGAGGGAGGAGGTGTGTTGCTCCTCTCCAGGAGTTAGACTGAGCCCTGAGAGCAGAATCCAGAGTAGAGACCGGTCCTGAGTGAGGAGGTTGTTGTGTTGCTTTCCTCTCCAGAGTTAGACTGAGCCCTGAGAGCAGAATCCAGCGTAGATAGAGCCCGCGTCCTGAGGAGTGGAGGTTGTGTTGCTCCTCTCCAGAGGTTAGACTGAGTCCCTTGAGAGCAGAATCCATAGTACGAGACCTGTCCTGAGGAGGAGGTGTGTTTGCTCCTCTCCAGGAGTTAGACTGAGCCCTGAGCGAGACAGAATCCAGAGTAGGAGACCGGTCCTGAGGAGGAGGGTGTTGTTGCTCCTCTCCAGGAGATTAGACTGAGCCCTGAGAGCAGAATCCAGAGTAGAGGACCGGGTCCTGAGGAGGAGGCTGTGTTGCTTCCTCTCCCGGAGTTAGACTGAGCCCTTGAGCAGGCAGAATTCCAGAGTAGTAGAGACCGGTCGCTGAGGAGGAGGTGTTGTTGCTCCTCTCCAGGAGTTAGACTGAGCCCTGAGAGCAGAATCCAGAGTAGAGACCGGTCCTGAGGAGGAGGTGTGTTGCTCCTCTCCAGGAGTTAGACTGAGCCCTGAGAGCAGAATCCAGAGTAGAGACCGGTCCTGAGGAGGAGGTGTGTTGCTTCCTCTCCAGGAGTTAGACTGAGCCCTGAGAGCAGAATCCAGAGTAGAGACCGGTCCTGAGGAGGAGGTGTGTTGCTCCTCTCCAGGAGTTAGACTGAGCCCTGAGAGCAGAATCCAGAGTAGAGACCGGTCCTGAGGAGGAGGTGTGTTGCTTCCTCTCCAGGAGTTAGACTGAGCCCTGAGAGCAGAATCCAGAGTAGAGACCGGTCCTGAGGAGGAGGTGTGTTGCTCCTCTCCAGGAGTTAGACTGAGCCCTGAAGCAGAATCCAGAGTAGAGACCGGTCCTGAGGAGGAGGTGTGTTGCTTCCTCTCCAGGAGTTAGACTGAGCCCTGAGAGCAGAAATCCAGAGTAGAGACCGGTCCTGACGAGGAGGTGTGTTGCTCCTCTCCAGGAGTTAGACTGAGCCCTGAGAGCAGAATCCAGAGTAGAGACCGGTCCTGAGGAGGAGGTGTGTTGCTCCTCTCCAGGAGTTAGACTGAGCCCTGAGAGCCCAGAATCCAGATAGAGACCGGTCCTGAGGAGGAGGTGTGTTGCTCCTCTCCAGGAGTTAGGACTGAGCCACTGAAGAGCAGAAATCCATAGTCAGAGGACCCGGGTCCTGGAGGAGGGAGGTGTGTTTGCTCCTCTCCAGGAGTTAGACTGAGCCCCTGCTGAGAGCAGAATCCGAGTAGAGACCGGTCCTGAGGAGGAGGTGTGTTGCTCCTCTCCAGGAGTTAAGACTGAGCCCTGAGAGCCGAATCCAGAGTAGAGACCGGTCCTGAGGAGGAGGTTGTGTGCTCCTCTCCAGGAGTTAGACTGAGCCCGGAGAGCAGAATCCATAGTAGAGACCGGTCCTGAGGAGGAGGTGTGTTGCTCCTCTCCAGGAGTTAGACTGAGCCCTGAGAGCAGAATCCATAGTAGAGACCGGTCCTGAGGAGGAGGTGTGTTGCTCCTCTCCAGGAGTTAGACTGAGCCCTGAGAGCAGAATCCAGAGTAGAGACCGGTCCTGAGGAGGAGGTGTGTTGCTCCTCTCCAGGAGTTAGACTGAGCCCTGAGAGCAGAATCCAGAGTAGAGACCGGTCCTGAGGAGGAGGTGTGTTGCTCCTCTCCAGGAGTTAGACTGAGCCCTGAGAGCAGAATCCAGAGTAGAGACCGGTCCTGAGGAGGAGGTGTGTTGCTCCTCTCCAGGAGTTAGACTGAGCCCTGAGAGCAGAATCCAGAGTAGAGACCGGTCCTGAGGAGGAGGTGTGTTGCTCCTCTCCAGGAGTTAGACTGAGCCCTGAGAGCAGAATCCAGAGTAGAGACCGGTCCTGAGGAGGAGGTGTGTTGCTCCTCTCCAGGAGTTAGACTGAGCCCTGAGAGCAGAATCCAGAGTAGAGACCGGTCCTGAGGAGCAGGTGTGTTGTTCCTCTCCAGGAGTTAGACTGAGCCCTGAGAGCAGAATCCATAGTAGAGACCGGTCCTGAGAAGGAGGTGTGTTGCTCCTCTCCAAGAGTTAGACTGAGCCCTGAGAGCAGAATCCAGAGTAGAGACCGGTCCTGAGGAGGAGGTGTGTTGCTCCTCTCCAGGAGTTAGACTGAGCCCTGAGAGCAGAATCCAGAGTAGAGACCGGTCCTGAGGAGGAGGTGTGTTGCTCCTCTCCAGGAGTTAGACTGAGCCCTGAGAGCAGAATCCAGAGTAGAGACCGGTCCTGAGGAGGAGGTGTGTTGCTCCTCTCCAGGAATTGGACTGAGCCCTGAGAGCAGAATCCAGAGTAGAGACCGGTCCTGAGGAGGAGGTGTGTTGCTCCTCTCCAGGAGTTAGACTGAGCCCTGAGAGCAGAATCCATAGTAGAGACCGGTCCTGAGGAGGAGGTGTGTTGCTCCTCTCCAGGAGTTAGACTGAGCCCTGAGAGCAGAATCCAGAGTAGAGACCGGTCCTGAGGAGGAGGGTGTGTTGCTCCTCTCCAGGAGTTAGACTGAGCCCTGAGAGCAGAATCCAGAGTAGAGACCGGTCCTGAGGAGGAGGTGTGTTGCTCCTCTCCAGGAGTTAGACTGAGCCCTGAGAGCAGAATCCAGAGTAGAGACCGGTCCTGAGGAGGAGGTGTGTTGCTCCTCTCCAGGAGTTAGACTGAGCCCTGAGAGCAGAATCCAGAGTAGAGACCGGTCCTGAGGAGGAGGTGTGTTGCTCCTCTCCAGGAGTTAGACTGAGCCCTGAGAGCAGAATCCAGAGTAGAGACCGGTCCTGAGGAGGAGGTGTGTTGCTCCTCTCCAGGAGTTAGACTGAGCCCTGAGAGCAGAGTCCAGAGTAGAGACCGGTCCTGAGGAGGAGGTGTGTTGCTCCTCTCCAGGAGTTAGACTGAGCCCTGAGAGCAGAATCCAGAGTAGAGACCGGTCCTGAGGAGGAGGTGTGTTGCTCCTCTCCAGGAGTTAGACTGAGCCCTGAGAGCAGAATCCAGAGTAGAGACCGGTCCTGAGGAGGAGGTGTGTTGCTCCTCTCCAGGAGTTAGACTGAGCCCTGAGAGCAGAATCCAGAGTAGAGACCGGTCCTGAGGAGGAGGTGTGTTGCTCCTCTCCAGGAGTTAGACTGAGCCCTGAGAGCAGAATCCAGAGTAGAGACCGGTCCTGAGGAGGAGGTGTGTTGCTCCTCTCCAGGAGTTAGACTGAGCCCTGAGAGCAGAATCCAGAGTAGAGACCGGTCCTGAGGAGGAGGTGTGTTGCTCCTCTCCAGGAGTTAGACTGAGCCCTGAGAGCAGAATCCAGAGTAGAGACCGGTCCTGAGGAGGAGGTGTGTTGCTCCTCTCCAGGAGTTAGACTGAGCCCTGAGAGCAGAATCCAGAGTAGAGACCGGTCCTGAGGAGGAGGTGTGTTGCTCCTCTCCAGGAGTTAGACTGAGCCCTGAGAGCAGAATCCAGAGTAGAGACCGGTCCTGAGGAGGAGGTGTGTTGCTTCCTCTCCAGGAGTTAGACTGAGCCCTGAGAGCAGAATCCAGAGTAGAGACCGGTCCTGAGGAGGAGGTGTGTTGCTCCTCTCCAGGAGTTAGACTGAGCCCTGAGAGCAGAATCCAGAGTAGAGACCGGTCCTGAGGAGGAGGTGTGTTGCTCCTCTCCAGGAGTTAGACTGAGCCCTGAGAGCAGAATCCAGAGTAGAGACCGGTCCTGAGGAGGAGGTGTGTTGCTCCTCTCCAGGAGTTAGACTGAGCCCTGAGAGCAGAATCCAGAGTAGAGACCGGTCCTGAGGAGGAGGTGTGTTGCTCCTCTCCAGGAGTTAGACTGAGCCCTGAGAGCAGAATCCAGAGTAGAGACCGGTCCTGAGGAGGAGGTGTGTTGCTCCTCTCCAGGAGTTAGACTGAGCCCTGAGAGCAGAATCCAGAGTAGAGACCGGTCCTGAGGAGGAGGTGTGTTGTTCCTCTCCAGGAGTTAGACTGAGCCCTGAGAGCAGAATCCAGAGTAGAGACCGGTCCTGAGGAGGAGGTGTGTTGCTCCTCTCCAGGAGTTAGACAGACTGAGCCCTGAGAGCAGAATCCAGAGTAGAGACCGGTCCTGAGGAGGAGGTGTGTTGCTCCTCTCCAGGAGTTAGACTGAGCCCTGAGAGCAGAATCCAGAGTAGAGACCGGTCCTGAGGAGGAGGTGTGTTGCTCCTCTCCAGGAGTTAGACTGAGCCCTGAGAGCAGAATCCAGAGTAGAGACCGGTCCTGAGGAGGAGGTGTGTTGCTCCTCTCCAGGAGTTAGACTGAGCCCTGAGAGCAGAATCCAGAGTAGAGACCGGTCCTGAGGAGGAGGTGTGTTGCTCCTCTCCAGGAGTTGGACTGAGCCCTGAGAGCAGAATCCAGAGTAGAGACCGGTCCTGAGGAGGAGGTGTGTTGCTCCTCTCCAGGAGTTAGACTGAGCCCTGAGAGCAGAATCCAGAGTAGAGACCGGTCCTGAGCAGGAGGTGTGTTGCTCCTCTCCAGGAGTTAGACTGAGCCCTGAGAGCAGAATCCAGAGTAGAGACCGGTCCTGAGGAGGAGGTGTGTTGCTCCTCTCCAGGAGTTAGACTGAGCCCTGAGAGCAGAATCCAGAGTAGAGACCGGTCCCTGAGAGGAGGTGTGTTGCTCCTCTCCAGGAGTTAGACTGAGCCCTGAGAGCAGAATCCAGAGTAGAGACCGGTCCTGAGGAGGAGGAGTGTTGCTCCTCTCCAGGAGTTAGACTGAGCCCTGAGAGCAGAATCCAGAGTAGAGACCGGTCCTGAGGAGGAGGTGTGTTGCTCCTCTCCAGGAGTTAGACTGAGCCCTGAGAGCAGAATCCAGAGTAGAGACCGGTCCTGAGGAGGAGGTGTGTTGCTCCTCTCCAGGAGTTAGACTGAGCCCTGAGAGCAGAATCCAGAGTAGAGACCGGTCCTGAGAAGGAGGTGTGTTGCTCCTCTCCAGGAGTTAGACTGAGCCCTGAGAGCAGAATCCAGAGTAGAGACCGGTCCTGAGGAGGAGGTGTGTTGCTCCTCTCCAGGAGTTAGACTGAGCCCTGAGAGCAGAATCCAGAGTAGAGACCGGTCCTGAGGAGGAGGTGTGTTGCTCCTCTCCAGGAGTTAGACTGAGCCCTGAGAGCAGAATCCATAGTAGAGACCGGTCCTGAGGAGGAGGTGTGTTGCTCCTCTCCAGGAGTTAGACTGAGCCCTGAGAGCAGAATCCATAGTAGAGACCGGTCCTGAGGAGGAGGTGTGTTGCTCCTCTCCAGGAGTTAGACTGAGCCCTGAGAGCAGAATCCATAGTAGAGACCGGTCCTGAGGAGGAGGTGTGTTGCTCCTCTCCAGGAGTTGGACTGAGCCCTGAGAGCAGAATCCAGAGTAGAGACCGGTCCTGAGGAGGAGGTGTGTTGCTCCTCTCCAGGAGTTGGACTGAGCCCTGAGAGCAGAATCCAGAGTAGAGACCGGTCCTGAGGAGGAGGTGTGTTGCTCCTCTCCAGGAGTTAGACTGAGCCCTGAGAGCAGAATCCAGAGTAGAGACCGGTCCTGAGGAGGAGGTGTGTTGCTCCTCTCCAGGAGTTAGACTGAGCCCTGAGAGCAGAATCCAGAGTAGAGACCGGTCCTGAGGAGGAGGTGTGTTGCTCCTCTCCAGGAGTGGACTGAGCCCTGAGAGCAGAATCCAGAGTAGAGACCGGTCCTGAGGAGGAGGTGTGTTGCTCCTCTCCAGGAGTTGGACTGAGCCCTGAGAGCAGAATCCAGAGTAGAGGACCGGTCCTGAGGAGGAGGTGTGTTGCTCCTCTCCAGGAGTTAGACTGAGCCCTGAGAGCAGAATCCATAGTAGAGACCGGTCCTGAGGAGGAGGTGTGTTGCTCCTCTCCAGGAGTTAGACTGAGCCCTGAGAGCAGAATCCAGAGTAGAGACCGGTCCTGAGGAGGAGGTGTGTTGCTCCTCTCCAGGAGTTAGACTGAGCCCTGAGAGCAGAATCCATAGTAGAGACCGGTCCTGAGGAGGAGGTGTGTTGTTCCTCTCCAGGAGTTAGACTGAGCCCTGAGAGCAGAATCCAGAGTAGAGACCGGTCCTGAGGAGGAGGTGTGTTGTTCCTCTCCAGGAGTTAGACTGAGCCCTGAGAGCAGAATCCAGAGTAGAGACCGGTCCTGAGGAGGAGGTGTGTTGCTCCTCTCCAGGAGTTAGACTGAGCCCTGAGAGCAGAATCCAGAGTAGAGACCGGTCCTGAGGAGGAGGTGTGTTGCTCCTCTCCAGGAGTTAGACTGAGCCCTGAGAGCAGAATCCAGAGTAGAGACCGGTCCTGAGGAGGAGGTGTGTTGCTCCTCTCCAGGAGTTAGACTGAGCCCTGAGAGCAGAATCCAGAGTAGAGACCGGTCCTGAGGAGGAGGTGTGTTGCTCCTCTCCAGGAGTTAGACTGAGCCCTGAGAGCAGAATCCAGAGTAGAGACCGGTCCTGAGGAGGAGGTGTGTTGCTCCTCTCCAGGAGTTAGACTGAGCCCTGAGAGCAGAATCCAGAGTAGAGACCGGTCCTGAGGAGGAGGTGTGTTGTTCCTCTCCAGGAGTTAGACTGAGCCCTGAGAGCAGAATCCAGAGTAGAGACCGGTCCTGAGGAGCAGGTGTGTTGTTCCTCTCCAGGAGTTAGACTGAGCCCTGAGAGCAGAATCCAGAGTAGAGACCGGTCCTGAGGAGGAGGTGTGTTGCTCTGAAGATATAACATCAGGACTCAAACCACCAGACTCGGGGACAGTTTCATCCCCATCAGACTGTTAAACACCTGAACTTTTGAAACAACATCCATAACATTCATCTGTCTGCAACTTACACATTATTTATCTAATATATCATATTCCAATTACTTGTACTATCAACCTACCATATATAGGCATTCAGCCATGCACGTGATACTGACGCACCTTTCATAACAAATAAGTGAGCCTTAAATTAATATATTTTAAACTATAGTGTGACTCACAAAAATACCTGATTAATTAAGAGTATAATCTACTTTATATTATTATCAAGCCTAACATTCAGTCAATAATAACAACATGAAAATGGCTCTAACACTCTCCTTGCACTATTTGAACCATCTGATCTTTTTGTATTGTGTTTCTCTGTGGGAGGAGCCTGTGACCTCAGATGTTCACTAACATATCTACACTGTAGCTGATGTACACAGGACAATACAAGCCTTGAAACCTCAGACAACATTCATGCACACACCTCCACCCCTCAAAGACTGCACCCACTACTATTTAGAGATATGTATGGATATTTGACCTCCTTTGGTTAGGGTTGCAGTTAGTGTTTTTAGACTGTAGACTGTTGTTGTACTTTGTATGATGACAATACAGATATATTCTGTTCTGAATCTTGCCTCCTCCTCCTCGTCAGATCGTGGGGAACCTGGTCTACTATCGATACATGAACCCAGCCATCGTGGCTCCGGACGGCTTCGAGGTGTTGCAGCGCAGTGCGGGGAGCAGCCTGCAGCCCGAACAGCGCCACCTGCTGGGCTGCATCGCCCGCATGCTGCAGCACGCCGCCGCCAACAAGCTGTTCCCCGGGGAGGGAGACCACCTGCAGACCCTGAACCGGTTCATCAGCCAAACCCACCTCAAGTTCAGGTGGGGGGCCGTCACACTGAGAGAGAGATCTTTAGTGTCCTCACGTTCAGGTGGGGGGCCGTCACACTGAGAGAGAGATCTTTAGTGTCCTCACGTTCAGGTGGGGGGCCGTCACCCTGAGAGAGATCTTTAGTGTCCTCACGTTCAGGTGGGGGGGCCGTCACGCTGAGAGAGAGATCTTTAGTGTCCTCACGTTCAGGTGGGGGGTCGTCACCCTGAGAGAGATCTTTAGTGTCCTCACGTTCAGGTGGGGGGCCGTCACACTGAGAGAGATCTTTAGTGTCCTCACGTTCAGGTGGGGGGCCGTCACACTGAGAGAGAGATCTTCAGTGTCCTCACGTTCAGGTGGGGGGCCGTCACACTGAGAGAGAGATCTTTAGTGTCCTCACGTTCAGGTGGGGGGCCGTCACCCTGAGAGAGATCTTTAGTGTCCTCACGTTCAGGTGGGGGGCCGTCACACTGAGAGAGAGATCTTTAGTGTCCTCACGTTCAGGTGGGGGGCCGTCACCCTGAGAGAGATCTTTAGTGTCCTCACGTTCCGGTGGGGGGCCGTCACACTGAGAGAGAGATGTTTAGTGTCCTCACGTTCAGGTGGGGGGCCGTCACACTGAGAGAGAGATCTTTAGTGTCCTCACGTTCAGGTGGGGGGCCGTCACGCTGAGAGAGATCTTTAGTGTCCTCACGTTCAGGTGGGGGGCCGTCACGCTGAGAGAGATCTTTAGTGTCCTCACGTTCAGGTGGGGGGCCGTCACACTGAGAGAGAGATCTTTAGTGTCCTCACGTTCAGATGGGGGGCCGTCACACTGAGAGAGAGATCTTCAGTGTCCTCACGTTCAGGTGGGGGCCGTCACACTGAGAGAGAGATCTTCAGTGTCCTCACGTTCAGGTGGGGGGCCGTCACACTGAGAGAGAGATCTTTAGTGTCCTCACGTTCAGGTGGGGGGCCGTCACCCTGAGAGAGATCTTTATTGTCCTCGCGTTCAGGTGGGGGGCCGTCACACTGAGAGAGAGATCTTTAGTGTCCTCACGTTCAGGTGGGGGGCCGTCACCCTGAGAGAGATCTTTAGTGTCCTCACGTTCAGGTGGGGGGGCCGTCACACTGAGAGAGAGATCTTCAGTGTCCTCACGTTCAGGTGGGGGGCCGTCACACTGAGAGAGAGATCTTTAGTGTCCTCACGTTCAGGTGGGGGGCCGTCACACTGAGAGAGAGAGATCTTTAGTGTCCTCACGTTCAGGTGGGGGGCCGTCACGCTGAGAGAGAGATCTTTAGTGTCCTCACGTTCAGGTGGGGGGCCGTCACCCTGAGAGAGATCTTTAGTGTCCTCACGTTCCGGTGGGGGGCCGTCACACTGAGAGAGAGATCTTTAGTGTCCTCACGTTCAGGTGGGGGGGCCGTCACCCTGAGGGAGATCTTTAGTGTCCTGATGTTCAGGTGGGGGGCCGTCACACTGAGAGAGAGATCTTTAGTGTCCTCACGTTCAGGTGGGGGGCCGTCACACTGAGAGAGAGATCTTTAGTGTCCTCACGTTCAGGTGGGGGGCCGTCACCCTGAGAGAGATCTTTAGTGTCCTCACGTTCAGGTGGGGGGGCCGTCACGCTGAGAGAGATCTTTAGTGTCCTCACGTTCAGGTGGGGGGCCGTCACACTGAGAGAGAGATCTTTAGTGTCCTCACGTTCAGGTGGGGGGCCGTCACACTGAGAGAGAGATCTTTAGTGTCCTCACGTTCAGGTGGGGGGCCGTCACACTGAGAGAGAGATCTTTAGTGTCCTCACGTTCAGGTGGGGGGCCGTCACCCTGAGAGAGATCTTTAGTGTCCTCACGTTCCGGTGGGGGGCCGTCACGCTGAGAGAGAGATCTTTAGTGTCCTCACGTTCAGGTGGGGGGCCGTCACACTGAGAGAGAGATCTTTAGTGTCCTCACGTTCAGGTGGGGGGCCGTCACACTGAGAGAGAGATCTTTAGTGTCCTCACGTTCAGGTGGGGGGGCCGTCACACTGAGAGAGAGATCTTTAGTGTCCTCACGTTCAGGTGGGGGGCCGTCACCCTGAGAGAGATCTTTAGTGTCCTCACGTTCCGGTGGGGGGCCGTCACACTGAGAGAGAGATCTTTAGTGTCCTCACGTTCAGATGGGGGGCCGTCACACTGAGAGAGATCTTTAGTGTCCTGACGTTCAGGTGGGGGGCCGTCACACTGAGAGAGAGATCTTTAGTGTCCTCACGTTCAGGTGGGGGGCCGTCACACTGAGAGAGATCTTTAGTGTCCTCACGTTCAGGTGGGGGGCCGTCACACTGAGAGAGATCTTTAGTGTCCTCACGTTCAGGTGGGGGGCCGTCATACTGAGAGAGATCTTTAGTGTCCTCACGTTCAGGTGGGGGGCCGTCACGCTGAGAGAGAGATCTTTAGTGTCCTCACGTTCAGGTGGGGGGCCGTCACACTGAGAGAGATCTTTAGTGTCCTCACGTTCAGGTGGGGGGCCGTCATACTGAGAGAGATCTTTAGTGTCCTCACGTTCAGGTGGGGGGCTGTCACGCTGAGAGAGAGATCTTTAGTGTCCTCACGTTCAGGTGGGGGGCCATCACGCTGAGAGAGATCTTTAGTGTCCTCACGTTCAGGTGGGGGGCCGTCACACTGAGAGAGAGATCTTTAGTGTCCTCACGTTCAGGTGGGGGGCCGTCACACTGAGAGATCTTTAGTGTCCTGATGTTCAGGTGGGGGGGCCGTCACACTGAGAGAGAGATCTTTAGTGTCCTCACGTTCCGGTGGGGGGCCGTCACACTGAGAGAGAGATCTTCAGTGTCCTCACGTTCAGGTGGGGGGCCGTCACGCTGAGAGAGAGATCTTTAGTGTCCTCACGTTAAGGTGGGGGCCGTCACGCTGAGAGAGAGATCTTTAGTGTCCTCACGTTCAGGTGGGGGGCCGTCACACTGAGAGAGAGATCTTTAGTGTCCTCACGTTCAGGTGGGGGGCCGTCACACTGAGAGAGAGATCTTTAGTGTCCTCACGTTCAGGTGGGGGGCCGTCACACTGAGAGAGATCTTTAGTGTCCTCACGTTCAGATGGGGGGTCGTCACACTGAGAGAGAGATCTTCAGTGTCCTCACGTTCAGGTGGGGGGCCGTCACGCTGAGAGAGAGATCTTTAGTGTCCTCACGTTCAGGTGGGGGGCCGTCACACTGAGAGAGATCTTTAGTGTCCTCACGTTCAGGTGGGGGGCCGTCACACTGAGAGAGAGATCTTTAGTGTCCTCACGTTCAGGTGGGGGGCCGTCACACTGAGAGAGATCTTTAGTGTCCTCACGTTCAGGTGGGGGGCCGTCACACTGAGAGAGATCTTTAGTGTCCTCACGTTCAGGTGGGGGGCCCTCACGGTGAGAGAGAGATCTTTAGTGTCCTCACGTTCAGGTGGGGGGCCGTCACACTGAGAGAGATCTTTAGTGTCCTCACGTTCAGGTGGGGGGCCCTCACGCTGAGAGAGAGATCTTTAGTGTCCTCACGTTCTGGTGGGGAGCCGTCACGGTGAGAGAGAGATCTTTAGTGTCCTCACGTTCAGGTGGGGGGCCATCACGCTGAGAGAGAGAGATCTTTAGTGTCCTCACGTTCAGGTGGGGGGCCCCTCACGTTCAGGTGGGGGGCCGTCACACTGAGAGAGATCTTTAGTGTCCTCACGTTCAGGTGGGGGGCCGTCACACTGAGAGAGAGAGATCTTTAGTGTCCTCACGTTCAGGTGGGGGGCCGTCACACTGAGAGAGAGAGATCTTTAGTGTCCTTACGTTCAGGTGGGGGGCCGTCACACTGAGAGAGAGATCTTTAGTGTCCTCACGTTCAGGTGGGGGGCCGTCACACTGAGAGATCTTTAGTGTCCTGATGTTCAGGTGGGGGGCCGTCACACTGAGAGAGAGAGATCTTTAGTGTCCTCACGTTCAGGTGGGGGGCCATCACGCTGAGAGAGAGATCTTTAGTGTCCTCACGTTCAGGTGGGGGGCCATCACGCTGAGAGAGATCTTTAGTGTCCTCACGTTCAGGTGGGGGGCCGTCACGCTGAGAGAGAGATCTTTAGTGTCCTCACGTTCAGGTGGGGGGCCGTCACACTGAGAGAGATCTTTAGTGTCCTCACGTTCAGGTGGGGGGCCGTCACACTGAGAGAGAGATCTTTAGTGTCCTCACGTTCAGGTGGGGGGCCGTCACGCTGAGAGAGAGATCTTTAGTGTCCTCACGTTCAGGTGGGGGGCCGTCACGCTGAGAGAGATCTTTAGTGTCCTCACGTTCAGGTGGGGGGCCGTCACACTGAGAGAGAGATCTTTAGTGTCCTCACGTTCAGGTGGGGGGCCGTCACACTGAGAGAGATCTTTAGTGTCCTCACGTTCAGGTGGGGGGCCGTCACACTGAGAGAGATCTTTAGTGTCCTCACGTTCAGGTGGGGGGCCGTCACACTGAGAGAGAGAGATCTTTAGTGTCCTCACGTTCAGGTGGGGGGCCGTCACACTGAGAGAGAGAGATCTTTAGTGTCCTTACGTTCAGGTGGGGGGCCGTCACACTGAGAGAGAGATCTTTAGTGTCCTCACGTTCAGGTGGTGGGCCGTCACACTGAGAGATATTTAGTGTCCTGATGTTCAGGTGGGGGGCCGTCACACTGAGAGAGAGATCTTTAGTGTCCTCACGTTCAGGTGGGGGGCCGTCACACTGAGAGAGAGATCTTTAGTGTCCTCACGTTCAGGTGGGGGGCGGTCACGCTGAGAGAGAGATCTTTAGTGTCCTCACGTTCAGGTGGGGGGCCGTCACGCTGAGAGAGAGATCTTTAGTGTCCTCACGTTCAGGTGGGGGGCCGTCACGCTGAGAGAGAGATCTTTAGTGTCCTCACGTTCAGGTGGGGGGCCGTCACACTGAGAGAGAGATCTTTAGTGTCCTCACGTTCAGGTGGGGGGTCGTCACGCTGAGAGAGATCTTTAGTGTCCTCACGTTCAGGTGGGGGGCCGTCACGGTGAGAGAGAGATCTTTAGTGTCCTCACGTTCAGGTGGGGGGCCGTCACGGTGAGAGAGAGATCTTTAGTGTCCTCACGTTCAGGTGGGGGGCCCTCACGTTCAGGTGGGGGGCCGTCACTCTGAGAGAGATCTTTAGTGTCCTCACGTTCAGGTGGGGGGCCATCACGCTGAGAGAGAGAGATCTTTAGTGTCCTCACGTTCAGGTGGGGTGCCCCTCACGTTCAGGTGGGGTGCCCCTCACGTTCAGGTGGGGGGCCGTCACACTGAGAGAGATCTTTAGTGTCCTCACGTTCAGGTGGGGGGCCGTCACACTGAGAGAGAGAGATCTTTAGTGTCCTCACGTTCAGGTGGGGGGCCGTCACACTGAGAGAGAGAGATCTTTAGTGTCCTCACGTTCAGGTGGGGGGCCGTCACACTGAGAGAGAGAGATCTTTAGTGTCCTCACGTTCAGGTGGGGGGCCGTCACACTGAGAGAGAGAGATCTTTAGTGTCCTCACGTTCAGGTGGGGGGCCGTCACACTGAGAGAGAGAGATCTTTAGTGTCCTCACGTTCAGGTGGGGGGCCCTCACATTCAGGTGGGGGGCCGTCACGCTGAGAGAGAGACTCAATGTTCACCAGTTACAAGATTTCTTAAAAACTGAATAAAAGACTTTCAGAAGAAAATCTACAGAATAAATGACAACCCTGTCTAGAGATCTACTAACATGGTGAACTATATACAGAGTGATCGTGTTCAGGGTTAGGGTACACAACATCTCACTGTGTGTGTGTGTGTGTGTGTGTGTGTGTACCTGGTGTGTGTGTGTGTGTTACAGGAAGTTTCTGCATGGTGTGTGTGACGTCCCTGAACCCGAGGACAGGTTCAACATGGATGAGTTCTCTGAGCTGCTCATCGTCAACAAACCCGTTGTTTACATCTCCGTCAGTGAGCTGCGCAACACACACCAGGTACACACACACA